GGCCATATACTGTAGCTGGCCATACACTGGACTCGGAGGTGAATGAGAAAAAATGCTTTATTTACCCCGTCCAAATTAAAGAGCATGGATGGAGGGATTTCCCCTGTGGGCTATTGTACCCTGGCAGTGGCAGATGAGCTGCTGTCAAAAAACACCAACAATGCCTGCTGCTGATTGGCTACAGTCACTGTTCAGCCAACGATTTTTGGAATAGCTCTGTAAAAATTGACTTTTGTCAATGTGGGAGGGGTCTCGAGGGGGCCACACACTGCTTAAATATTGGGGTAAGTCAGCAGGACTCAAACAGTGTATGGCAGTTTTACCTTCCTCCTTAATCCTCTTATTGTCACTGTGTGGCCCTGCCCAGCCAATTGGATTGCAAACCGCCGGCCTCAGGATGAAAGGTTCCTGCATGGGCCTGGTTTTTACCTGCCCACTCCGTTTATGATTTTGTGCAACATCTATTATCTTTAACAAAGTGGGCAATTTGAAAGCTGAACTTTCAATTGAACCCTAAACTTGCCTGCCAAAGCATGTGTGCTGTAGTGCGCCAAAACACATGGTACAATACTGTCATGTGCTTTCGTGCAGTGCGTTTTTAAAAATGCACGCATTGCTTTGGTGCAACTGTTGCATGCTGGGCAGCCCATTTAAATCAATAGGCTGCCCAAACATGCCACATCTCAATGCATCTAACTTGCGTAGACGCATTAAGACGTAGTGCACACACAAACACACGTGTGTGAAACAGGGCTTGTTATTCCTATTTAGCTTTGTTATGGCAGTGACTCATTCTTATGAAATTTTCCAGGCACGATTGTCATACGGTATGAACTTCTTTACATTGCCATTTTATATTCTTCATAGGGCCAATTCACACCAGACGCTGCACAAAACACATAGAGGGGAATTTATCAAAACTGGAGCAGAAGAATCTGGAGCAGTTGCCCATGGCAACCAATCAGCTTCTCACTTTCATTTTCAAATCTTAACTGAACCGACTGAAGAGAGAAGCTGACTGGTTTCCATTGGCAACTGTTCCAGATTCTTCTGCTCCAGTTTTGATAAATTCCCCCGATAGTGGCAGGTGTGCAGTGCCCGACACACTTGCAATGGGCCAAACCTGGCACATCGCACTGTGTACTTTTTTTTTTAGAACTTTATTGAAATGTCACAAGTGACATTTCATTAAGTTCTATGGGCACACTGAGGTGCAAGGCGGTTGTACTGTGTTACATCATGGTGCACTGATAAAAAAAAAGTCCAGCATGCCATACTTTTTTCAGCGCACACCACCACAACACCCATGTGTTGCTGTGGTGTGATGTGAACCAAGGCTATACGTGACAAAGCAAATTTCCCTGTCTTGCATTAGGGCTGCTCTGGAAAACATGGCCTGTGCATCCCCAACACAAATGGTGTGAATGGCCCCTTAATATTAG